TTTCAAGAAAACAAAAAAAGAAACCTTGACATTAATCAAAATAGCCTGAAGTCATTATTACGGCATTAAGAAAATTTCAGGGGTAAATATTTTTCCAATTTCAAGCTTGTATTTTTTGAAACAAATGTTTTCTATTACAAGATCACTTCTAATCAAAAGGTATTTGCACTGGTTTATGATTTTTTTTTTTTTGATTTTTTGGCTTTTTTCTAGATGTCTTGTCTGTATGGTTCAAAATATCTTTGCAAGTTTCCTTAATCGGAATCACAAGTGACTCTTTAGAGTGGTAACCAGTTGGCATTTCTAATGCCTCAGATATATGCACACAATGAAAAAAGATTTATGAACTGTTAGGGGAATCATATACCAGCAATATTTTTAAAATATTAGAGCAGCAATTTCATAGCGATACTGGTAAAAACTATCAGAATTCAACTCATAACAGGAGCGTAATAATACCAGAGTTGTCTTTAATCTAATAATTACATTTAATAGCACTCCCGTTTTATAGAGCAAAAGTTTCAGCATTTTCAAATACCCTTCTGCAGTGTTCTCATCGCTAGTGTTGCAAAAACCATTTTTTGGGCATATCCAAAAAACTTAGATAATCTCTAAACCTCAGTTGAATATTCTTTTTTTCTTTTTTTACTTATGCTTTTTCAGCAGAGGATTTGGCAAAGTATTTTTTTTGTGGATAAATTTAGGATATAAGTTTAGTTTATATCCTAAATTTAAAATATTTTCAAAAGATCTGAGCCAGCAATTAAGTAGAAAAGTTCAGAGATAAAACTTTTTCATTGATGGTTTCGATCTGATCAATGCTGGGTTGTTAAGTTCACTGGGCTTAGCTCCACAAACATTCATGATTAAGAGGACAGAGTGTTAACTTTACCATCAAACATGGCATATTAGCTTGAAATTAAACTTAAAATTAAACTGTAAACTTCACTCCATGGTTTTAATTTTTTAGAATTTGTAACACTTTTCATGAGAACAACAAAGTCTTTTACGTGAGGATCTCTAGATGCTTTTTTTATTGAATCTAATGCCAATCCTTTAGCAGGATGTTCAGCCAATTTGGCAACTTTAAACAAAATAATATTAAATATTTAAGCGTGTAAACTATTTTTTAATTTGAGTTGAATTTAATTGATTTATTATTACTATAGATCATTTGCTTCTATCACTAAAATCTTTGCAGTCCTTTCACTTTCTACCTACACCTGCTGCCGCGTTTTTTAGTCAACTGTTACAACTTTCTTCAACCAAGTTCGCTTGTGTTTCAGAAAATTTCAGAAATTTCAGGAATTTTTCCGCAACTTTGATTGAAATTCAAATTTAAATATTCTTTAAATTTATCATTTCAGGTTTGTCAATACTTTCATAGTCTCGACCCTTCAGTCTACAAAACTCACATAGAAGAGCATCGAGTATATTATTATGATTAATTGATTAAACTCTTGAACTATAGGAACTAAATGTATTATTTTTACGATGAATGTATGCATTGAACTATTATTTGCTACTTTATACAAAAGTTTTAGTTAAAAGCAGAAAAAAAAAATACGATAAAAAAAACCAAAAAAATATACAAAAGGTCATATTTTAGTTTGGGGAATTAGGGGCAAATGATTTTTATTTTATCTGCTATCATTCATACCGATCAATTGAAAAATGTTAAAACTATCATGGAAGCTAGTGCAATCTTTTAATTTTTGAACTAAACTCTTAATTAAACTAATTTAAAAAAATCATAATAATTAAATGAGATCTCATTAATGAAAATATAAAATAAAAAAATTGTTGTCAAAAATGATCTTAATAGTTACCAAACACCGTATACCTATGACTTCAAATGAAATTTTGAACTGTTTTTACCCGCGTCATTTTTCAAAGAGTTACAATAAAACGAGATTTTTTTGAACGAATTTTCCGATAAATAAAATAAAATAAATAAGTCTCGGTAAAAGGCTTTTCATCCGCCTACCAGATAGAAAACTGGCACGCGTGCGCTCTAACTAAAACTTTGAAAAGTAACAATGACTTCTCCTCTGATCCAACTATGATTTGCAATGAACTAAAAAATTTTTATCAGTTAGTCCAAACTCAGCTAAAAAAGTTCCTTTTATGAATAACAAAATAGATGCTTATGATGTTCCGATATCGGCGACCAAAACATCTTAAAAACTTTCCTTTAAGAAATTAAAACCGTAACAGTTCGTTTATAGTTAATGAAACTGGATACAACTAATCTATTAAATATAACCTGTGGAGTTCTTCGAGGGTCTTTACTTGAACCACTTTTATTTTTAATTTACATCAATTATCTCCCTGAAGTATCAAGTTTAATGATTCAAATTGCCACTAAATGCCGAAAAAAAAGGTCACTATCAAGGGATATCTAATAAAAAAAATTCAGCTTACCGTCTTGCCCTTACATTTTATAGACAAAATGTAAGCAAAAAAAGAAACAAATACTAACTTTTTAGTTATATATGTTTGATGAAAACTTTATCTAGAAATATCACACTAATTGTTAAAACTATAGGAGTAATGGGTAAGGCTAGAAATGTTTTGAATAAATCAAGTTTACTACATTTATATTATTCTTTTTTAAATTTTCATTTAAACTATGCAAATATTGCTTTGTGTACGATACGATAAAATGATAAAATACCAACACTTAAGTGATAAAAAAAGTTTATAAGCATACAAGATAAAAATAGCAAACATTTTTTCTTGGTCCAAAATAGAAAAAATGCCGTGTATCATACTTATCTGCTTTCCAGCAATCTTTTGTTGCGCATTAATACCCAACAATGAAAGTTAGGGAATTGCGTAACAACGAAAGTTAGGGAATGCACTTACAAACATTCTTAAATTGCGTTCAGAATTATTTAGTCTAACTATAACTCACATCGCCAACCTTTCATTCAAATCAGGTATTTTTCCAGTCTCATTCAAGGCTGCTCAAATTACACCAATTCCCAAAAAATCAGGACAAACAGTATTTAAACTCATTGATCTGCGCACCATAATTAGTCTCAATACAATATAAAAATTTTTTAAAAAGCTTGCTTTATTTTGGCTTAACTGTAAACTTTAATCTTTTTATATCTGGTTTTAGGTCTAATCACTAAACAGAAACAGCGCTCCTAAAGATATGCAATGACATCCTGTTAAACTATAATGATGCTTTAACCATCATTTTCCTCTTTCTAGATATATCTGCAGCGTTTGATACAATCAATCACAACCTGCTAATTGCTTGTATAAAAGATGACTTTCGTTTTATAGATACTGCACTAACATTGCTAACGCCATACTTGCACTCTTGAAAATCCTTTGTTTCTATAGGCTTAACAAAATCTAAATTATCAACTAGTTCAACAAGATGTGTCTGAGGCCCATTTTTATTTTCGATGTTTGTTTCTCCTGTATATCGTATTATAGCTAAACATATCACAAATTGACTATTGTAACAGTCTTTTATCAGGTTCTAATAAAAAAAATGTTAAAAAACTCCAACCATGTACTTAAAATAGTTTATCTGGCATTGTCTCTTATTTTAAAATCTCTTCATTGGTTATCAATCCATCAACAAATAGTTTATTAAATATCAATTATTACATATAAAACTTAAAATACTAAATCTCCTGGATATCTATTCGAAATTTTAGAAACCCGAATTTCAAAACAAGGCACAAGTTCATCAGACCGTTGTCAACTTATTTATTGCCTATCAAAAACTTGCCAAGGATCAAAGTCTTTTTCCATGCACCTCGAATATGGAACGGCTTGTTTATAAAAACACGTAACTCAGCCACTTTAGACACATTTAAAAAAAGACTGAAATACAAACCTTTTGTAGACACCTTCAGGACCACAAAGTAAATTTTCTCAGTGCTTCTGAATTACTTTATCACTATTGTGATTGTTGTAAATGATGGTACTTTAATCTCTAATTGTTATATTATTATTATTATTATTATCATTATAAATACGTATATAAATATACAGGGGCGGATTTAAACCCCGTCAAGTGCTGCAAGTGACGGGGTAAAAAAAGTTATATAAATATTGGTACTATGACGTCTTACACTCGTTTAACATGAGTTGCCGATCTTTATATTATTGATACATTTTGTTAGAAAATAAAATTAGGAAAAAGTTTGCAGTGAAAACAATGCTTTGCAGAAATTGCAAAAATTGTTTTATAAAATAGCTAATGTAAACTATACTTTGCAGGATATGAGAAAATTAATTAATTAAAACTTGTTAATGTAAATTATAGTTTGCAGGATGAGAAAATCGGATAAAGTAATTGGTTTACGCTATTAAAAGTAGCGTAATATCGTAGTGTAAACTATACTTTGCAGCATTTGTAGCAGTTTTTTGATTAGTTATAAATATATAACAAATTATTTTCTTTAATTCGTGATTAAATTGAAATTAAATTCGTTTTTAAGTCGAAGCATAGCCAATAACTTAATTGAAGATGTTCTAAAAAGATTAAAACCGACGACCTTGTTTGAGGATTTTGTAAATTAGTAATCTTTTAAATATGTTTTATGAAACTATTTACATAAATTTATTAATAACAATAACAAAATGGTTACTAATTAAGATCTTTTAAGTCGATTTATAGATGGCACAATTAGTAAGTACGCGCACTGAAATTTTCATATTGATCATATAGTAGAATGATATATATCATTAGAAAGGCCTTCAATACAGTATTTTAAAGGTGAAAAAATTATTACAAACGAACAATTCTAAAAAAAGTTATAACATTTTTAGTGGCAAATTTTAGATATATGTAATTGTTGAAGAAACTGTGGTCAAAACAGTTTTTTTTTTCACTTAAATTGTTATAACTTTGTCAATTTTTATCCAAATACCTATATCTTGGTATCACAAGTTAGGTGCACTAATGGGCTGCAAATCTTGGGAGCCAGAGGGGGTAATGAAACACCACCTAACCCTAAAGAAAACACAAGTTTTTGTCAGAAATAAGCACTTTTTAAATGTAATTGTTATATTTTATACACAAAATATTGCCATAACTTGATTCCTAAACACTGTCAAACAAAAAAAGGTGATCTTAGAGTTAGCCATAGATGTGGTTATGATGTTATAACACCCTAAATACAATAATCATAATTTCTAATAAATAATTTAATCTTTTTTACAGTAATTAAATATTTTGTTCAAAAGTAAAAATATCTTTTTTTACTATAAAACATACATTAGTGATGTACAACACTAACTTTAGGGGAGGGTGTATGTCGCACCGCCCCCCCCCCCCCCCAACTCATTAAAAATAAAAATAATTTTATCTTTATTACAATAATTAAATGCATTGTTCAAAACTAAAAATAATCTTTTATTACTATTCAACATATATTATTGATGTACACATTGACTTGAAATGAAGGAAGTATGATGCACCACCTCCCCCTCCCCCCAACTGACAAAAAATAATCTTTTATAACTATACAACATACATTAGTATTGAAAATATTGTTGCATTACATAAAGCAATATTTTTTTACTATAGAACATTCATAGTGATGTACAATTTGAGGAGAGGGATGGTTTTCCCCCTTTCCCCCAACCAACATAAAAAAGAAAAAACAGAAATGACATTTTCAACATTTTCATATGCAATTATTAAAAAAGAGAAGGCACAATACATAATTGTTTAACCAGATTACAAGTTGCACTAGTATACATTTTCTCATTTAAATGATCATATTTAACCTACCAACCTAATAAAAATAATAAAAAATAAAAATGTTTTGAAACGTAGTAATTACTCTGTCTATGTTTATGTTTTATGTCTTGGTTTTCAGTAAATGATTTTAATTTTAAGTTCAAAATGACGTATAAGCTTCATATGTAAGCTCTAAAAACAAATAAAATATTAATGTATTTGTAATTCATGCAATTAAAAATTATAAAACTTAAAATAAATACTTACTAAGACAGTTTGTCTGAATAAATATAAAGAATGAATAATGAAACAGTGAAATTTTTAATAAAAAAATATGTATAAGCTTCTGATTCTCCTTTTATAGCACTTGGAGAGATAACAAAACACAAAAGTATTAAATAGATTATATAAATAGGAATAAGAGGAACGCAATAATCAATCAGAGACATTCTAGATTCATAAATTTACCGTTTGAAGGTGGTACAGATGGAACTAAAAGTAAAATTTTTTTTAATAAAAAATACAATTTGCAAATGGTAATAAATGCATTCAAAGTCTAAAAAGTAATAATTTTTAAACTTACTCGACGTGACAGCTGAAGATGTAACTATATAAAAAAGGTTTTAATTAAAAACCAGTTGATAAGAAATGCAATTGCAAAAAAGAATATGCAATTGATAAGAAATCCATACACATGTTAAAAGAAAAAAGGTTTTGAAACTTACCAGGCGTAGCACACGTAGAAAAAACTAAAGTTAAAAAATATATTATAAAAATCAATATTGCAATCAATAAGAAATTTGTGCGCGTTAAAAAGAGTTGTTTATTTTACCAGGTGTAGCACAGGAGGTAGATACTAAAATTACAAAGTTGTAACAAAAAATCAATATTTTAAATAACGAGAAATGCATACACATAAAATGTAATAGTTTTTTAAATTACTAGTTGCAGCACATGACTAAGGAACTAAAGTTAAACATATTGTAAAGTTTGCACATTAAAAAGTATGAGTTGTTAACTTACCAGGTGTAGCACAAAAGGTAGATACTAAAATTAAAAAAATGCAGCAAATGGGAAATCCATACACGACAAGTAATAATTAAATAAGTAAGAAATACATATTTATTTATATTTCTTTAATGGTTAATAAAAGTTATAGTACAATAACTTACCAGCACTAGTCTGTGCATATTGGACTAAAGATACCAAAAAAGATCTTGAAATTGTCAACAATCAGTAAAAATAATAGTTATTTAATTAGTTCTGCTTTACATACAACATTTTTACTAACAAAAAAAAAAGTATGAAAAAATAATAAAAAACAAATTATATTTCTGTATATTAGAAAAACACTAACAAGATATTTTTATAAGAATAAACTTATTATTCTAAAAGTATCTTGATATTTTTACGAAAATAAGCTTATTTTTATAAAAATATTTTTTCAAAAACGTTATTGGCTTAAGCCAATAATGTTTTACTTTAAAATATAATAATGTCGTTTGTATATTTTTATATATATGGTGTATTAACAACATTGGTATCTGATACTATTAGTTAATAAAATATTCCAAAGTAACGGTTTAATCTTAAATCCTAATCTTTTTTAATTTACCATCATTGGTATATATTACAATCATTGGTATATATAGTTTAAAAAACCTTAATCTTTGTTTACATGCCATGTAAACAAAGGTAATACTAGATAAAGATAATATTTTTATTTGAATTTTAAAAATTAAAATAATACAATGTAGTAGTTTACAATCCGCTTCCCTCTATCCTCCCCCGTATTTCTCTCACCGATAAAACGAAAACAAAAAAAACCGAATTTAGGTACCAAAAGTCCTACACTTCTTAAACTATCTGCTCCCAATTATTTTTTGTTGAAATTTGGCATGTGCGAAGAAAATGCATGTAAAAAATTGCATGAATAACAAAAAAAGCGGACACAACATTCCTTCGACAACAAATTAATGTGAAAACATCAACGAAATTGTCTTGAAAGTTTTCAGCATAACTAACCATAAAAAAGTTTATACATAAGAGTACTATAAAAATTAAGTCTAAAATTTTTATTTGAATTTTAAAAATTAAAATAATACAATGTAGTAGTTTACAATCCGCTTCCCTCTATCCTCCCCCGTATTTCTCTCACCGATAAAACGAAAACAAAAAAAACCGAATTTAGGTACCAAAAGTCCTACACTTCTTAAACTATCTGCTCCCAATTATTTTTTGTTGAAATTTGGCATGTGCGAAGAAAATGCATGTAAAAAATTGCATGAATAACAAAAAAAGCGGACACAACATTCCTTCGACAACAAATTAATGTGAAAACATCAACGAAATTGTCTTGAAAGTTTTCAGCATAACTAACCATAAAAAAGTTTATACATAAGAGTACTATAAAAATTAAGTCTAAACTTTCTTCTTTCCAAATATAACTTTTGTTTATATATGTTTCTAAAAAGAAACACCACAAAAAACGTTTGTCTAACCCTACATAAAAAAAGCAGTATATTTAATATAGCTTTTTGTAACATATCTGCTCCCAATTATTTTTCGTTGAAATTTGGCACATAAATAGAAAATGCATGTTAAAAATTGCCAGAATAACAAAAAAAGCGGACACGACATGCCTTCGACTATAAATTCATGTGAAAACATCAACCAAATATTCAGGAGAAAAATAATCTGTTAAAAAGTCTAGTAAACATACATAAAATTTTTAAAAAAGTAAAGATTAGCTTCTCTTCTTTCTAAAAAGTATCTATGTGTATATATGTTTTCAAAAAGAAACTCCACAAAACTACGTTTACCTCATGCTGCCTAAAAAAGAAGTGAAAAAAAACCTAAAAACAAATACATTAATATTTTATTTGTTTTTAGAGCTTACATATGAAGCTTATAGGTCATTTCGAACTTAAAATTAAAATCATTTACTAAAAGCCAAGACATGGAGTAATTACTATATTTCAAAACATTTTTATTTTTTATTTTTTTTATTAGGTTGGTGGGTTAAATATGATCATTTAAATGAGAAAAACATCATAACCACATCTATGGTTAACTCTAAGATCACTTATTTTGTTTGGCAGTGTTTTGGAATCAAGTTATGGCAATATTTTGTGTATAAAATATAACAATTACATTAAAAAAGTGCTTATTTCTGACAAAAACTTGTATTTTCTTAAGGATTAGATGGTGTTTTATTACCCCTCTGGCTCCCAAGATACACCCTCCATCCAGGCACCAAAATGAACTTGTAGCCTATTAGTGCACCTATCTTGTGATACCAAGATATTGGTATTTGGATAAAAATTATAACAATTTAAGTGAAAAAAAGTTATAACAATTTAAGTGAAAAAAAAAATTATTTTGACCAACAATTCCATATATCTAAAGTTTGCTACTAAAAATGTTATAACTTTTTTTAGAATTGTTCGTTTGTAATAATTTTTTCACCTTTAAAATACTGTATTGAAGGCCTTTCTAATGATATACAACGATATGCGCGAACCTACAATTAGAAGAAATATATGAACAGAAGAAACTTAAAAGAACAATAATAAGCATTGTATTGCTTTGAAGTCATTTTACTTTTTCTTCAAAAATAATTATCTTATTTTATTTAATATAATAAGTTAATCTGTGTTAATTGTGTAAGCAACTTGAATCTAGATGTAAAAAACTGTAGGGGTTAAGGATATGATGAAGCCAGTTCTGTCTCTAAGTATATAAATGGTGTTTCTGCTCGGGTTCTAATTATAAATTCAAAGGTTCTGCATATATATTTTCATGTGTATACAGAATTTCTATCGGCTGAAGTTATTTCTATCGACTGAAGTTATTTGTTTGTGAATGTAATGTCCAATTAGCCTCAGAATTTCTATCGGCTGAAGTTATTTCTATCGACTGAAGTTATTTGTTTGTGAATGTAATGTCCAATTAGCCTCAGAATTTCTATTGGCTGAAGTTATTTCTATCGACTGAAGTTATTTGTTTGTGAATGTCCAATTAACTCAGAAATTTTTTCTATTTATTCAGAATTATTTATTAAGAAAATAGATAAAGTTTTTAGAAGTTAGTATTTTAGAGCTTGAACCGCGAACGCATAAGATGGATTGAGTGTATAGATGGTTTAAACACTTGAACATTGTTCATCAATTTTCCATGTTTATGTATCATGGCTTTCCTTAAATGTTCTGTTAACAAAAACACACCAAATAAATCTACTTTTTAAAATTCCATTAGCACTTTTCAATTTATCTATACTTTATTTTTCGCAACATGTGCCTTTGATTTTACTTCACCTGTTACTTGGCTACTGCAACCAAAATCTTTTAATGTCTCAGACGGTTTGCACCTTATTACAGCTTTTAAAAATAAATCTGTTACCATTAGAAATGATATATACATAATTTTCAAAATAGCTGCTATGAAGCATCATATTTGCATCCCTAATAATATCTCAAATCTTAAATCAATATTTTTTCCTGGATTTGAAAATATTAATATAGCTTAAGGATACTTAATGTAAGAGGAGTTTTTCTGTTATGCGTCTGTTAAAAGGCTATACAAGAACAACATGTCAGAAGATTGATTTAATGATTTTGCATTAATGTATATCCATTAAAAAAATGTTTCTTGTATTGATAATGTTATTAAAAGATTTTCTATAAAAAAATTGACGACCTCATTTTAATGATTAGTGTTTATGCTGCTTGTTCTAACACATACTAACTACTTTATATTAAAAAATTATTTTTTATTATCACAGCTCTTTCTATAACAGCTAACAAATATGCATGGAAACTCTTTGGACCAAGACATCAATGGTGTCCTTAACAGGATGGATGTAACCCCATACTTTTGTTTGGGATTAGCTGTATTATTAGCGGTCATTGTTCAGGCAAACACTAACCTTCACTTTCTGACATAAACAATTTCTTTCTATCATTTTCTAATTTAGCAATAAAATAAAACAAATATAAATTATTTTTAATAACTTTTCTCTCAATCAACCTATTAATAGTTTTTGTGCCATTTAAACCAGTTTTTTACTGTAATTGTTCTCAAAAACTGTTACCATTCTTTCCATTTGATCAAAAATGACCTTCTTTCTTGTTGTTAAGGTTTAACTTGGTTTAACTCTTTTTTTAATCTTGTAATATAAAAATAAATATAGCCATTATTTTACTATGTATATAAATCTACTTGTATTTGTATCTTACTCTTTTCTGTTATGAATTATTTTTTTTCTGATTGTCCATGTCTGGAATGAAATATGTTCCAAGACATGCTGATGAGCCCTATTATTGGGCAAAGCAATCATTTGTTGGTTTATATACTTATTATTGTAATATGTTATACCAAAATGTTAGAAAAGGATCTACAGCTCTATACTCTTTTAATAAAAAAACACTTTTTGTTAAAAAAAGTTTCTAAGTAAAACTAAGATTCATTATGTATTAACTATCAATATTATATACATATATATATATATATATATATATATATATATATATATATATATATATATATATATATATATATATATATATATATATATATATATATATATATATATATATATATATATATGTATATATATGTATATATATATATATATATATATATATATATATATATATATATATATATATATATTTACAGTAAAAAGTATTTGAGCAAGCTACTTAAAGTATTAAGGTTTATATTACTAATGTTAAACAAAACAATATGTATACATAATACTATACAATAAAAGTTTATTATATATATATATATATATATATATATATTCAACTTTAATGCACATTTGTAACATGATACTAAGATAAAATAAATTTAGTTATTCAACGTTTTGATGGTGTCACGGTAGAAAAAGACACGTAAAATTAAGAATCAAGTTTATTCAGGATATTTTTGAGTTTAAATTTCCCAAAAAATAGAAAGTAGAACGGCAAATTAGGACTTTAATAATTCCTTGAAATTGAAAGATTGTTTCGCTACTAGTCAATATGTCCAAGAGAAATTATTACTTATAGAACATCCAATTTCAAATAATCGATTTCAAAAAATCGATTTTTTATCAAAATGATGATAAACCTATGATAACCAGAATATTATTAAATTGCAGAAGTGTCGGGTGATGATGCTTTTTTTAACATGTTTCTTCTTATTTTTTTATTCAAC